CAGACCCAAACCCTTTCCAGCTGATCTTGGTTCGGGACGTCTGCAGATTGAATGTGCATCGAGTCACTGAGCTAACACGTCTCATATATCCAATGTTACGTCCCCTCCGCGCTGTCTGTCAGAACTAAGGCCGCCCCGCCCTGGCAGCGGTGTGACAGTCGACTTGACAGTCCTGTGACAGTCGCCCTGTCTGCCGTGTGACAGTCGCCCTGTCCGCTGACAGACGAGTGTCCCTGAGCGTGTGACACTGCCGTGTCGACCCCGTTGTGTCAGCTGACAGCTGGGTGACCGAGCACCACCACCTGTCACTACAGGGAGCGCGTGTCTCGGCTGCTCAGGGCGGCCAGCGGGACTGTGATCGCCGGGTAGATTGTGTGATGTGATTGCTAGATAGATAAACTTTGATTGCGTCCACTTGACGCACTCCTGTTCGACAATCAACTCGCTTCTTGTCCTTGATCAACTCGCTTGATTTGTGTATACTGTGTGGGTTGTTTTGTTGTTGGTCACTCGTTGCGGCACAGTCCGCACTGTGCTGACCGGCTGCGTGCTCCTCCTCTCCGGCAGGTACTCAGGTGATTGAGGACGAGCGGCGGCGTGTGGAGGAGCTGAAGCGGCGCGTTCAGGACGAGGTTACGGCCCAGTGGGAGGAACAGAGGCGCCAGCAGCACTCGGCCCAGTCACCGACCCCGGAGACGGCGGGGGAGCCGGCGCCGCCCACCGCGCCACGGTCAGTGTACTGGGGGAGCCGTGGTGTGGTTGTATGGGGTCTGCCATTGTCACTGTTAGGGGCGACACCTGTCGGTGGTCCGCAAGGGGGCGTGGTGGAGGACTTGTTTCGCCCACGACTGGTGTAGTTCAGAAGCTTGATACCTACTGAAGTATAGAACCTTTTATTGAAGTTTAGAATCTGTAGTCCACTGCGACAGCGAAGCTGCTCAGGTGGCATCGAATAGAACTAATGTGTGCATCATTGTCATTGGACATGGGAAAGCGCACTGGCTCAGCGTCAGGTAGATCTTTGTATGAGACAGGGATGCGGAGCCGTGGAAATTTCAGACGGCTCCGACTCCGGCTCCGGCTCCGGAGAAAAAAATCGGCTCCGGCTCCGGCTCCGGCTCCGGGTGAAATGTCATGGCGGCTCCGGCTCCGGCTCCGGCTCCGAGTAAAATGATCCGGCTCCGGCGGCTCCGGCTCCGGCGGCTCCGGCTCCGGCTTCTACTAAGTACACCCCCTATGCGATCAATTAAATACGGGTGGAAGAAAAAAGGCGATGGGATTGGTGCACGTTGCTACTGTATTTGTATAACAAGGCTATTTTGAATACCACATTGTTTTACGCCTTGTAGGTGGTGGCAGCATTGCTTTGAATGCGAGGCGAGGTGTAACCGTGTATGCGAACACTGAAGGTAGAGAACACTGACCAAGACCTCGACGGTCCCTACTGTCAAACCGAACTAGGTAAATAATTGTTTCCTCTAAAGAAAAGGAGCCGGAGTCGCCCCCTTTTTTGACGGCTCCGGCTCCGGCTCCGGCTCCGGGCTACATTGTTTCACGGCTCCGGCTCCGGCTCCGGCTCCGGGCAAAATATGCCGGCTCCGGCGGCTCCGGCTCCGGCTCCGGCTCCGGCTCCGCATCCCTGAATACGGTCTCTTAGAGGTCTGGAACAACGCATGAAGTAGCAATAGATGTTCGATAGGTTAGTGCTGCCGTATGCAGCTCGTTCGCTCATTTGCGCTTTTTCTATTTTCCAGCGTCACCAACGGTCACAGCTCTCACGAAGAGGCACCTCGGAGCCCCGCATCCGGCGACCGGTCACCGCCAATCAGCGACGGCGGCCGCGAGCTGCAGCCAATCAGCGAGGACGGCCAGCCGCCGCGACCAATGAGCGGCGAGAACGGCCGCCAGCAGCGGCCAATGAGCGGCGAGGACGGCCGCCAGCAGCCAATGAGCGACGAGGAGGACGAGCCGCGCTCTCCGCGGCCCGTCTCGGACGCCTCGTCCGTGTTTGACGGCGTAGAGGAGCCGCCGGTTCGGCGGCGCAGCAAAGTATCCGTGCCGGTAAGCGCGGGGAGAAGCGGGATGGAATGGGATAGCATGAAAAAAGATTTGGCGTGACCCACGATTGATGAAATGGAACGACGACAAATAGAACGAAATGTTATCGGTTGCGTTGAAAGAAAGAGTGTTTGAAGCTCCTAAACTCGTTGATTTACTTCATTAGAAATAATCATTGTTAAACATGCTCCCTTACATGTTGCAAATTTTCTTTTTGGCAAGCTAGACTTTTGATTCTGAGGTTTTCGTTAGTGTCACGCATTCTCGCATCGCTTGCTACTTCATTTCGCCGTTGTGCCACATGCTGCTTCACCGCGATGACTTGTCTAACTTTGCGTGATTCTGTATGTCCACAGCCCCAGCAGCGGCCACTGACGCGGTACCTGCCCATCACCAACCAGCAGTTTGATCTGCGGCAACACATCGAGTCGGCAGGTACGCGACCGGTGGGACCGAGTGGCTCTACTCACTACTGCCGGGCGCTCACTCGCTCGCCTGATCACCTACCGGAAATAAGAGGGATAGGTTTGACCATTACTGGCTCATGGACCATTACTGGCTCACTCTGCAGTATTTCTATGACAAAGGTCGGGTCGTCATCAATGCGTCCTCTGACCCATAATCCCTCCCTCACACCAGCTGGAGTTATCACCAAGTGGTGACTGATCTGACCTCTGACCTCCCCCCTCCCCAGGTCACCAACTGGAGATGTGTCACCAAGTGGTCATCAGCCGGCACGCCTGTCGCGGCTACCTGCACAAACTCAGCTCGCGAATCCGCTCCTGGCAAAAGCGCTGGTTCGTCTTCGACCGCAGCAAGAACAAGCGCACGTTCATGTACTACTCTGATAAGTCGGAGAGCAAGGCGCGCGGCGGCGTCTATTTCCAGGTACGGACGGCTCGGCTGCTTACGCCACTCTCACAGTGACAGTAGCGACACATTGTCACTGTCACAATTGCAGATGCAAAACTGCTATATTTGCGTTAGAATTAGGCAACTGGTTACATTTGGTAAGAATGTCATAACTGTCCAAGTTTTCAACTTGTCAAAGCAGATATAACGAACATAGGTACCTGCAAAATAAACGGATTATCCATGATAGTACAGGACACAGGTCCAAGCCTCATCGACGTCCTGCGGTGACACTTCCGTCCTCGTGTTTCAGGCGATCGAGGAGGTGTACGTGGATCACCTGAAGACGGGCCGCGGTAGCGCGCCCAACACCACCTTCTGCGTCAAGACCATGAGCCGCACCTTCTACCTGATGGCCCCCAGCCCGGAGGCCATGCGCATCTGGGTGGATGTGATTATGACGGGCGCCGAGGGGAACGCCGTCTTCGGGCACGGCTGACGGCGCCTGAGGGAGGGATCTGCTGCTGGAAGGTCGGCGCGGAGTGTCATCCCACCGTGCGGGGAAGAGGGATGGATCAGAGCGTGATCTGTACTAGGTATGAAGGGCTCTACATTCTACAGGAGATGAGGTTTGAGGGATGTGACAGCGTGGTGAGTTGCGTGAAGGAGATTCTGAACATTTGTCCACCGATGAAGTCAGTCATAAGTCCGCCGCGAGAGGCAGTGTGAGAGGGGACTGGAATCAACTGTTGCCCCCGCACTTATTATCACAGTCGCGAGCGCTTAGGCGGTGCGATTATCACAACGACAGCGTATTTTTGCAGCGAGTTCGGTGCTGTGTATAGTGTCGCCGCGGCGCGCACGCGGTGCAGTGTTGTATGTGACGCCGGTGTGCCGTAGTGTTTTGTATACCGTTTAGTGTCGTGTCGGACGGTGTCAGGCCGCTGTCGGCCGGCGCAGGTCGTGTGTCGTGTCTCCAGTGTTGTGTCGGCCGGCGCCCGCGGAGTGCCGGCTCTGGCCAGTGTCACGTGCCGCTCGAGTGCGGCGAACGCAGTCAGCCCGTCTGTGCCTTCCTTGGCGACTCTGTGTCCGCCCCGCGGCTGGGTCGGTTCGGTACCCCGCGAGGCCTGATCTGCCGCCAGTCAGTGCCTTGAGCCGGACTCTGCCAAGCTGTGCCGGTGTCCGGCCGCCCGCGGGATGTCGGGTCTACTCCCGGACTCCCAGCCGTCCGGGGACCGCCGCCCGGCCGGCCCGCGGGTCATTCTTGCCCTCGTGACTCAGGCGGCGCTGTCTGACGGCCTGGCGGTCCTGTGCTCCGCCGCCGCGTCGAGTCGGCCGCCTCTACTCACCACCTTATTTTTGTATCCAAAGACGTGTCAAATAAACTAATACGTAATGACGTCCGAACAAAAATCGAGTCTATAGATATTGTCCCGGGGTATTGAAGATGAGATTATATAATCTCTAGTTCCCTTCACCACTCCCTTATTTTGAATTATCGCTTTTTCGCATCCCCTGCAAGTCAAACCAATTGCCCATGTTTACGCTGCGGAGTGAGGGTAGCAAGTGTAGGGGCAGTAGGGGAGGGGCATTCAGAACTTGGGAAACGGCGCATTTCGACCAGGAAATCCTGTCTTCTTCAGATAAGGCCTGGTTTCGTTTTGTTGGGTTAGGCCTTTTCGGTCTGACAAGACCATTTCAGAGTCGGAAGGATGATAGGAATTGGGGGGGGGGGGGGGAGAGACATTGGTCTGGGCAGGCACCCTAGTGAGTCACCGAGGCTGAGCCTGTCCAGAGGACAGGCCACACTCACTGCACCCGGCTACGGGGTGCGCTCTCTCGGGAGCAGCGGAGCCGCTCCAAGGGAGCAGCCCGCATGAGATGAAGTTGCCTGTCCTGGTCCAGCCCGGACCGAGGGTTGCGGCGTGGTGGAGAAGGATTCGATTGTCCTGAGGATGGAAACGACGGACGGGTGCAGGTAAGGCCCCAGGCCGGCGGTTTTTGGTGGAAGGCAGGCGAAAATCAAACGACCTGAAGCCCAAAACGACCCCTATTGTATCTCTCACTCTCACAAGTATTCGAAACACCAATGCCGTTCGTTCCGTTTTTATTACACAATCTTTCCACGAAAAAAGGACAGATGGCTGCACATTAGAATAAGCGCTCACATTCGTGTAAACTAAGGTGTGTTTCAATAGAAGACGAAGCGATCAATGAAAAAGTTGACTTTCCCTTACAAAAACGAGTGCATACAGCCAGCTATTCAATGACATCCCATATGTACAAAGTAGCTTATACCACTAAACCAGCTAAGACCAAGTCATGTCAATACAAAGCAAGAGGAATCGTTCGTTAAAAAAGTAATGAAATATAAATGGACTGCATTCTGTGACATCACATATAAAACACATAAACATTACACAGACAGATGGCTGGTTCGGGTTTGCAGCAGCTATGTGTATACGATGAGCAGGACGTCGGTTTTAATCGCAAATTGCTTTCCTAGGAATGATCGGTCAAAACTGGGATCGCCCGTGTAAAGTTAAGGAGTTTCGGAGGGCGCTCGTGCACCCATATCGCTTAAATGAGCCAGTGCGACAGAAATCTTGCGACACCGAAGCAGCAGAGCTCAGCTCCTAGGGAGATTTATGTATGTACAAACATTACAATGCATTGCTGTCCTGTCCCACACATCCAGCCGCTTCTATAAACATTCACGTCCACAGCTTTACCGAATACCTACCCACCTACTCTCAGCATATCTTTATCAACCGGCCATATACCATGGTCCACCGACCTGGCTATGCAGGCCTGATTTAGCCCTACCGCTCCGCTAGCCACCGCAAAAGTCAGCGGCACTCGCAGCCGAACCTAACAGCTCGCAGGCCGGTTACTCGTCAGGCTAGTGTTGAACAAGCCGACAACTGACCTGCCTCAGTACAGAAACGGATGGCCGAGCTGCTTCAATTGACCTGCTAGCGGGCGAAGTGGCAAGGCTGCTTCCATATCTACTAGCGGGCGAAGTGGTCAGGCTACTTCAATTGTAGCGCTCCTCGCGGCTAAGCTTCTCCAGGAATATCTAGCCGTTTCGCTGGGCTGCAAACTTCAGTAGCAGCGGGCCTGATGGCTAAACTGTTTCAGCTGTAGTTGTCCCAAGTGGCTGGGCTGCTTCAGTTATAGTAGCGGGCCTGATGGCTGGGCGGTTGTCTCAAGTGGCTGGGCTGCTTCAGTTATAGTAGCGGGCCTGATGGCTGGGCGGAGCCGGCGCTTGGCGGCTCGACGGCGGCACCTGGTAAAAGACGGCAGACTACAGTTAGTGGCTGTTTACACCGACACGATGGCAGAAAACTCATGCCAGTGTAAAGCTAAGTGATTGACAAATCCGTAAACGGAAATAAATCTCACGTAGCACATCAGAAGCCACATAGCAGCCTGAGCCTTGAGATGCGACTTACGACGCCTCGAGATACCCAAACGGTCACAACGCAACAGATAGGTACCGCGCACACAATACAGAGCATACAGGATACAACGCTGGCGAGCTGCAGGAGCCGCCAGCCCCGTTCAATGACTGTTCAACTGCTCCAAGCCAAATGACCATCGTCTGCTAGGGTGGTCGGTGTGGCGTCTGCCAGTGCTACTCGCCCATTGACGGGGAGGATACTGTACCACAGTCCAAGACCAAGCCATAACCACACGTCCTACCGGACACGTCTCAAGTGTATCTTTTATCACCAATCCAATGAAAGCATGGATACCATCACGGCTTTCGTCTCGGTCCACAACCGCTCGCAGCATGGCCCAATGTTCCAACCCTTAATGCCGGATGAGGAGGTATTCTATGTAATGAGGAGCTTGAAGAATTACAGAACCCGTTGAGATACCCAGCCCTGATAACAGTACGTTCCAATTGACCTTACCGAGGAGGGCGTGGAGTGGGATGAGGCAGTGGAGTCCCTGGTGTGGGGGGGGGGGGAGATGGCGGGAGGTGGCGGCGGCTGCGAGGGACACTGCCGGGCACACCAGCGAGCGCACCCTACCAGCCCGGCCGAGCGGCGGCCTACTCACCGGCGGTGACGCGCCGCTGGCCGGCGGGTACGCCCCCGGGCCCACCGAGCGAACCGGGTAGCCGGACGTGATACCGCCCGACTTGCCGCCCTGAAACACAGCACAGGCCGCTCCAGCTCCGTGGCGGAGACAACTACCTCCTCCAGTGGACAGTCGGGGACGGGGAAGTGTGGGGTGGTGGGTTTGGCACGTGTCTGTTAGTCTGTCAGGTGGGAGCTGTCCGTCAGCTGCTGTGCCGTGAGCCGTCTGGACTCAATTTTGCATGGAGAACCCAATAAATCTGATGATGAAAAATGTCTGTCAATGCCTGCCTGTACGATGTGATGTGAGTTGTCTATCACGTCTGCCGGTGGCGTGAGCAGTCTGTCAATGATTGCCAGCCTACGTGTTTGTGCAATGCACCGTCAGAAACGTACCTCGTGTCAAATACCAATGTCATGGCCCTGTCATTCTGTCAGCATCCTTGTTAGCGCCCGGCATATCCCTCTGTATGTGCTTCCTGTCCCGTCACTTTTACTCTTACCCGTCAATATCCCTGTTTCTCTGTCAGACAGTGCTCCCCCGTCCCCTTTCGTTGTCACCCCTCGTCGTCACTGTCCCGCCATCAGCCCCCCCCCCCCCCTATCGACTAACCTGCGACTGTTGTACGGGCAGCTGCAGCGGCGAGGAGCGGATCCCCAGGTGGCTCGGCGGTCGGTGCGGCGACGAGCTGTAGTAGTCGCCCTTCTCCCGGGAGGTATCTATTACACTGTGAGACGCCATGCCATACCCTGAAACACGCGCCGACACCATAGTCAGCAGTTAGGCAGGTAGGTGTAAACCGCTAGTCGCCGACAGTAAACAATAAATGTTACCCACAATCACTGTGCCATCTGTCGATGAATAAAGAAGACAGACGGAATACGTACAGAAGGAGTTTCACAGAATATGTGACATTAATTATATGCTCAAGAGGCGACCACCGTTGAGTCCCAACAGCCAGTGTGTGGAAAACTATCAACACGTGAAATGAAAAACTCTGTCAACCACATTAGGCAGGAAGCCCCAGTGCGCCCCAATGTCCCAGCTCAGCGGCCGACCGTCGCTCTCCGGCCGGTGAGAGCGCCGACTGACCTCTGGAGGCCGGCATGTAGGCCGGGTGGTGAGCCTCCTCACGGATAGCAGCCGACGCCACCGAGACGTGCGGGTGGCCGGCAGACAGCGGGCCGCCGTAACTCACTGGGGGAACGGCCGACCGGTCAGGGGATACAACATATGTACATACACACAGGACAGTCAGGGAGCAGGAGATTATACAATAGGCACGGGGCAGTTATAGGGAAAGACAGTCTATACTCGGGGCAGACGGAAACAACACCCCACAAAAGGATAACCGAACAGCCAAGAAACAACAGCCTGCGGACATGCCAGTCAGAAAACACTCACATATGTAATTAGAACTGCGATATAAACTAGTCAATGGGCTCCCGGTAAAAACGGATCTCAATAACCTAACGATATGGATCCTGCCAGCCCAACCCAAACAACTATGCCTATAAAGAGCAGCGCAGCAGTGCGTTGTCGGTCCGACCGACTGACCCGAGTGCACCGAGATCGGCGTCTGGTACTCACTGGGCGGCTGCGGCTGTCCCTTGTACAAGTACTCGTGGCGGTAGGCCTGCGGCTGGTGCGGCGGCGGCGGCGACGGGCTCCTGGTCCGCTTCATCCCCTGTAAAACATCGCACAGACACCGTGCTAACACCGTGACTGTCACTGACCAAAAGTTACACCAATCAGAAACTGAACAAAGTCGGAGAGCGTATGGGAAAAGGGAGAAGATTGAGCATCGTAAATATTTCGGGACAGACAATGTCAACTGTCGACTGGACCTCACCAAGGAACCAAACACTTCTGCCATTGGTCATGATTGGGGGGGGGGGTCACCGGTCACCTCACCATGATATCGCCTCCCACCAATTTACTGGCGCGCGCCCTCACCATGGGCAGCAGTGACGGGTGGTGTCCGGGCAGCTTGTTGAGCGTGATCCGACCCGTGCCGTGCTGCGAGATGGGCGGCTGCAGCTGTAGCACCGGCTGCATGCTGGGCATCGGCCCGAGCGCCTGCTGCGCCGCCTGGGCCGCCTGGGCGTCCTTCATCAGCTGCTGGCGGCGCCGCGTCTCGTCCTCGTTCAACACCTTCTTCAGCTTCATGAACATCTCGTGCTTCTCCTTCTTCAGCTCCTGCAGACGCGTCTCCAGCTGGGGGAGGGGGACACCGCAGAAAGGGAGTGGTCATACACGGAGCAGCAATGGAGTATTATAACCGTACAGTTCACCGATGGTTCCTCCTGTGTGATACCCGGCCCGTCCCAACCTACCCTGTTCCCTTCTGGGCACTACCTATCATTTGCTAGCCTTTTTACCTGCGCTGTCTCTGCGATCGTGTCCTGCAGGGACGAGGTGTGCTGTTTCTTGAGTTGCTCCCGCTTTAGCCGCTGTCTGGCCTCCTCGGCGTCTGCCTCCATTTCTGTTGAGAGTTTGTGTCAGTCAGTGCTCATTGGAAGCATTTATGGCAGATCGTGATGACGCATTGTCTAATGAGTCGACAAAACTGTCACAGCATGGGAATGTGTCAATGGACTGCAACAGTAAAGGAACAACAAAAATATGCTCAATGCATACCCTAGGCTACATAACTGACGAAAACGCCTCCATAGTGCAGCTGCACATATCCATCAATAGAAATATAAATGTTTAATAGCACACCTTACCACTTATTAACAGGGCGCAGTGTATGTACAGGGTGCAGCGCAGTGTACATTGAAAGTCTCCATGCTTAGTTGATCAATGCAACCATATCTGGGCTCTAATACACTGTCAAGCCCATCTGTGAGACTATACCTCATTGAACAAACTTCAGTGTATGATAATGCAAACTCATGTGACCATTAGCATTTAACAATGCAAATGGACATTGGACTCGGTCACTCACCATCGCGTTTTCGTTTCCGATCGCGCATGATGTGCGCCTTGAGCGCCTCCCATGTCGCTCGACACATCTTCCCTCGCTCAACACGCATCTTGAGCTAGCCTGCGGGCACAACATACAATATCGTCAATCATGTATAGACATCGTCAGCTAGGACTTTATAACTCCATCAGACCATCCCACAGGCAACATAGTGAGCTAAGTTTAGAGGTCAGAAGGCCTCGGGTCACCGATGCCAAGTAATGCCAAGTGTTCTTCAGGCAAGGGGACTGATGAGCTGTTCAGCCCAAGGGGATCGATATAACATCTACAGAGTTACACTGTAATCAATGTCTGGATCGCAAAGCATGCCAATCTCGACGAGCTCGGTCGGTGTGGATGGAGGCACTCGGCCGGTACGCGGTACGTTGCCGATTTACTGCGGAGCAGTGCGGATTTCGGGTGGAGCTGTCAGGCCCAAGTGTGATACCTACCAGGCTTACGTGCTTTTGTGACACATGACTGACAGAGAAAATGATGTACGAGAGGTACCTATGGCAAGGCATCCGGGCAACTCCTCGTATGGCAATTCTTCGTCCGCAAAACCTCGTCCACGTATTTCTTCGTGTCGCATTTCATGGTAAGTTAGATAGATACGACTCTTTAGTGCCCTGGTTGATACCTGGTAGATACCTATATCTACCTAGACGCCAGACTGGAAAACATCCATACACTACGCCGGACTCACTCGATTTCAGCGATTTTGCGCTGAAATTTCTGCATGATTTGCGGCCAAAATGAGATGCCTATTTGTGCCGAAATTAAGCCACTTTTACATAATGCACATGTGCACATCTACGATCAAGGCTATATCAGCCAGACCCAGACAGAGCATTCCGGGGCCTTAGACGCTTTCCCATGTTTGAGCGTCCGAACAAGTTTTTTTATTTCCACGGAAACCCAATAGGTACCTCAAAACGCTTACGGACTGTAGCGTGAAACAAGGTCGGAGCCGGAAGTTCTGGGGCCACCAAAATCGGCCGAGCGGTGTCAGTGTGTCAGTGTGTTCGACGCTGGCGGAAGCCAGCGAGGGCCGGGCAGCGGAGCAGCACGTGCTCCGGCACATCAGTCTCTTCTCAGCACACGGCGCAGAGCGCCGCGGGGTACCGCTTGTCTGGGCACTGCTGGCAATCGCGGAGAGGAGACAGCCGATTCGGTGCACATACTGGAGCGAGCGGTGCCAGTGGCCCGCCCTCATCTGGTGTACCGAAACGGCATCCTCTCGGTCCTTCCTGGGGATAAGGAGCAGCATTATCTCACATCACAGCCTCGGCAGGTCCTACCGTGAGTGGCCGCCGGGCGTGACCAACGTGGAGTTTGAGAGTCTGCTCGAGGAGCTGATATCCGAGGGCGATGCGCTGCTGGCCACCGACGGATCAGTCACCCGGGAGCCCCTTCCCCGGAGCGGCTGGGGCTGCTTCATCCGCTCGGCTGAACTCACCCAAAGCGTATCGGAGCTACGCGGCTCGTGCTCTCGAGCATGCGGGCTGAGACGGAGGCCATCACTGTTGGACTGAACGCCCTGAATCAGCTCCTACCCGACTGTCAGCACATCGTCGTCGCCACTGACTCGCAGTCTCTCCTGCGGAAATTGGAGGGCGGCGTCTCGCCCCCTGAATGGTGGGCAGACAGGCGCATCACCTGGCTCATACTGCCCCGGCCACGCTGGCGTGGAAGTCAACGAGAAGGCAGACCGGCTGGCGGGCAATGGCGCGCCCGCTACCAGCAGGATCGTCCTCGTCCTCTCGGCTTCCGACTTCCAGCAACTACTCAAATTCAAGATGGAAACTGACGATGCCAGGAAGCCAAATCCAGGAGAAGCGGAATTCGGGAGGATGGCCCGTGTCGGTCTGAGGCCGGGGCCGGGCTGGATCGCGAGATCGGGCCTCTGCGGCCCCGTGGGAGGATGGCGTGCCAGCTCGCGAGCAGGACGGTGTCTCGTCGAACCCTGGCCGACGTCTGCATGTTGGGAGGAGCGGAGATGGCATGGAGGCGGAAATCGGCTCCTGTTCCATCGACGAAGCTGTCGCAGAGTGGTAAGTAAGTAAGGGTGCAGCAACGTGCTCTCAAGGAGTGGCTTGAATAGTGTTCGGACCATTTGTCACACCATTCATGCAAGGCCGCACAATGAACAACCCTGGTCAGCGAGCAGGCGTTTGAGGGCAGGGCGGCCACTTATTTCGCCAGGTCGTCCACGCTCTCATTCCCCTTGATACTGCAGTGGGCAAGAACCAGCCACAGTATTACTAAATATTACTTAACAACCTAACCTAACCCAATGCTCAGCGATGTTCAACTAGGTCTTCCATACCTATCTCCAAGCCAAGGGTTGAGGCCTCACCCGGGCAGCTGCTCCTCTGCCGAGTAGACTCAGGGTGACTGGCCAGTTCAGGGCTCAGGCACGTAATGACCTGGGCGGAATGTCTCGTCCCAAAACTTCTCCAGAGCTGCCCACAGGGCGAATCTGTTGCTAGATCGTACAGTGTGCCGACTTCATTCGGTGAGTCTTTCGCCAACAAAAAATATTATGCGGCCGCCCTGCGCCGAAGAATTCAGCCGCCACCATGCGCTGAATTCGGCGCACGCCGCACGCGAAGTTACGCTGGATGTGCGCTGAAATTTTTGGCGCAATCCCACTACTACAACGCGTATTTTTTTTTAAGTTTGTGGGGCCCAATATGTAAATGCACCATAGGCCTTACCAGCCACCATTTTTCGCCTTACCGTCCTATTTCTCAGATAGCTGCGTCGCTCTTCGTCGCAAATTCGTTACAATTTATTTTTACTCTTACTGGCTGACAAATAATTTTAATGACGTCATTGTATACAAAAATTTTGGATACCAATTTCGTGCCAATTTCTGAAATATTTGTTCATATGTTTCCCTCAATATATTTGAAGACCTGAAAAATGATATATTATACAATAATCAACATAGTTTGGCACATTTTTTTGTAAATCCATTCCTTTTTTGTCTTTTAAAATCATCTATCCTAATTACGTCATCAAACTTTCAACTATGCTTTACAAAATGTCCTTGTTTACAAATGTCTTTGTTGACTTTTCGTCTGACTTGGTCTGACTGTGGGGCAAGCTCAAGCTGTGTGGATAGTGTGTAAAGGAAAGGTCATAGGTATTTGCAAGGCTATATAAGGTATTTGTGAAAAATAGCGAATTTTTTTGCGATACTGCGATGCTTATTATACTTATTATGCGGTTTGTGTCTCACTCGGCTAGTTAGTTTTACCCCGCGTTTGATGTCTCTCGGACGACGAAGATTCTACGTCGTCCGGCCAATCCCGTTCAAGGTCAACGGGGGCTCGGCTGTGGTTGTGGAACGTGATTGGCCGGACGACGTAGAATCTTCGCCGTCCGAGAGTGAGAGACATCGAACGCGGGGCTAGTCACGTTTTCTCTAGGCTCTAGCCATTCAATAATCGATGGTGAATCAGAATTCTTGTTATAGTTTGTTGAAAAATGAAAAATGTTACCTTCCTTTTTGACTTCCTATTTTGAGTGGTAATTGCATTGTTTGTCTGTTTCAGTGACAGGTGGCTCAGTGGCTGACAGCAGGATGGAATCACAGTCAAGCACCACAGCTAGCAGCAGCTGTCACTGCCAGGAGACTGATACTGATGACACAAGCACCATGGCCGACACGCATATTTACGTCTGGACAACGAGTTGCGTTGGAGAGGCCGGAAATAGTGGCGATTTCAGGACCGCAAGAATGGACCGTTATTGGAATGATTCTTTTTTAAACCGTGCACTGTTTTCGGCCGGAATTTAATAGTTACTACAAAATATTTTGTAGTTACGTTTCCACCAAAAACCAATGCCATCAGGGCTAAATTTTTAATACTAATGAATTTTGTCAAGAAGCATATAGTGCTGCTATATTGCAGTTTTAGCGCGTTTGTTACAAAATATGAAGCGAATAAGCGTCAGTGTAATTCATCAACAGTGCCAGAAGTTAACTTGAGGGAAAGCTACGCTAATTGCTCTTGTGCATCCACTAAAATTTATTAAATATTTTTTTTTAAATATTTTGCTTTGTGTATTCCAAAAGGAGAGGGAACTATTTCATTTGTGCCTTCATCATACGCGGCGGAACGGGGAGGGCACCGGGGCACCGTGCCCCCCTTTGATTTTGGTATTTCAACATTGGCCCTATGGGCGTTGCATGGAAAGAATGGACTAGTGCACTTGGCAGTGCACCCCCCCCCCCCTTAATTGTAGGTGCTCCGCCGCTACTGGCCTTCATGTCAGAATTGAAGGTGGATCATTAAATTTTCAACGCTGTTTACAAACAAGCATTTGGTCTTTCTCGTTTATAAGCAGTGGCTAAGAAAAGGTTGATCAATCCTGAAGTTCAGTCATCATACCTCAACTTGGCAGCAAGATCCCCCAAGGACAGAGGATATATTGTATACGAGTACATGTCCTGTAAATCAAAACAAACAAGCATTTGGTCTTCTCGTATATAAGCAGTGGCTAAGAAAAGGTTGATCAATCCTGAAGTTCATTCATCATACCTCAACTTGGCAGCAAGATCCCCCAAGGACAGAGGATATGTTGTAAACCTGTCCTGTTAATCAAAACATTTTTGTGCCTGCAAAGGCTTAAGTTATCTGTGTTGTGTTCGGAGTTAGGCTATATGGCTGTTTTTGTTGTATGTTTATGTGGAGATTGAATATAACTGTGACCCTGTGCTTGTTTGTATACTTACGGTCAAACAGGGAACAGCACATTCACATAACATACTCACCTAGCACCTAACTCATAGCTGTACCCTGCAGGATCTGTACTTGTTCATGTCTCGAGCATTAACAAAGCACTAAAGTAGCTTAGTAATCATTTCCCACATTTTCTGAGCATCTAACATGACATACAGCAGTGCAGAGCAGCTTCAGAGAAGAAACACTTTAAATGCACAGACTCACACCAGCCACCCAATGAGCCAGTTCCTCAGTTGACTGTTTCCCTGGATGCAGCTTGGCAATGTGAGCAAACTTTTGGCAAGTTGAAGGTTAGCAGGTAAGATTGAGTTAGGGTGAGTACCTACCTATAACTGGGTGCTACTGCCATGCAGGTCTTGGGTAGGCTGCAAATATGTGTGATGATTGAGGTTAGGTCAGCTGTCAGGTTAGTCAGATTCAGGTATGCTCATTGCTCAGGTCACATTTTTATGGACATTTGGCAAATTAAAAAACTAACAATCTAATCTAAGCTAACACGACTAAACATACACAACTACTAACTATAGGAACTGAGCACCTACCTACTTGTGCCTACATCTCATACCATGTCAAAGTAGAGTTCCTTGGTGGAAGATTACCCTCAGTACTTTTTATCCCAGCCCTGTGAAGAAAACTAATACTTCTAAGCTCTGAGTCACTGCTGGCCATCCACAGGAAGAAACACTGAGACTGAGAGCTTTGCCATTGTATATTGGACCAATAATGACTATCACAATTCACAAATGACTATGAACACATAATATGATCACATTGTTGCATGGATTGTCACATTGACAATTTTACTACAATCCTTTTTTCAAGAAATACAGTGATGATGATTAACATCAAAATCAACATACAGTGGATTTAGTGATCCAAGCTTTCTCCTCCAGTAGCAATGGAATGATCGCATGTTTCATTTGCCAGACACTGAGTACCTGATGCACATTACAATCTGCATAGCATCTAAGCATAGTAAAACTGCCCAAGTCCATTCATTCTAGATTTTAACTTGATAGTTAGCACTAATTTATCTTGCTGTTGTAAGTTATCATTCAATATTCATACCAATACATCAATATGCGCTCATCAGTCAACATTTTCTGGCATGATCCTGCTCAGCGTGCTCTTCAGTATTGCTCCAAGGTCTGCAATATTATAGCTTGTTTTTGGACAATAAGCTCTTTTAATTTTACTTTTTCTTGCTGATATATGAGCCCGATCAACTTGCGTTTATCAACCAAAATTTCATAACTTGTTCAACTTGATATTGATATTGCTCAGGAGTCAGGACCTCTCGGGCTCTGTCAGCCTCCTGGATACTTCAGATTGTTTTCAGTCAACATGATTCTTAAATATGATATAAGTCAATCTTAAGGGATTCAAAACATCCAACAAAACGACGTACAAGAGCAAGAAAACCACCAGATAAACTAAAAAATGGCCTTGGAACAGAGCCAAGTGGTGCTCCATTGTTTGTTTACAATGATTGTAGTGCTGATGTATTTTTAGGACTCTGAACGTCGGCTTATAAAAACATGAAACGTTTTTACAAAAGTTGTAAGGCAAGTAATATTTATCTGAAAGAACTAAAATATTCAAAAGCCAAACACTACGAAATACATGAATCTGAACGAAAAAGTAACCCAAAAATCCAGCCTAATCACCGACTCCTAAAACTGCAACACAATCAGCACTTTTCCCCGCAACTCGTTGTCCAGACGTAAATATGCGGCCGACACATGGAGTGTGGTGTCTGAGTCGTCCTTGGCTGTGACATCACCTATTGGGTCGTCATCGGTGCAGCGTTACGTGCTGAGGGCCTTCACCTACCTGCATGTGCAGGACCAGGACACAGGTGTCACTCGACTGGTGACTGGCCAGTGTAGCTTCAGCACAAAGCCAAGTGAAAGGTTAGTTAGAGTGCCTGTGATATTGGGAAATAATCTAGGATGGATGGCATTATTAAAGGTAGTGTGCCAGCTTTCTTGGACCGTATGGAGTTAATGGCCCAGATAAGGAGAACCGGATTTTTAGAACTTATCCATACCTTCAAAACTCATGGAAACGTCTTAAATTCTTCAAATTTTGAGTACCCCAGTGCGAAATTCGCCCCGACGGGTTGTCGGTCGTACCCCAACCACATTTCACACCACTATGAACAATGAATGCACACACTGAAATCGCTATTACCGATATGCTCATCCAATCAAGTTTCGATAAACCCGTTCATCATCATCTCCTGCGGTTTCGAACACGCCTGTTAGGTGGCTTCTGATGCTCGTCGAGGTCGGAATTTCCAAATACGCGTGGTGCGTCGGGCCGCGCGCTCTGACTTCGGCCAAGTAAAATGCGTCAGCTGATCATTGTCATTTCTGCCACTTGCGTGTGGTGAAATGGGGTCATAACTTATAAGACGGCTTTTTCATATCAATTATTTTACATAAAATCATATTTCAAACCATAAATAATGTTCGACAGCCAAATAAAAGAAACAATACCAATACGGGCTTACAGTTTAAGGCTCGACATTGTGTTGTCTACGATTAGACAGCTGATAACTCATTCCCGTACGTCGTATGGTCAAAACACTATAATGACCTTTGCTTATTGTCACAAGTGCGCCGCATTCGCGATTGTTGCCCGACGCCTGTTTGCAGGTGAGCCCACTACAGTTGTTATACATATCTAAAAACCGAAAAACTTTTAGGCGAAAAAGGCACTATTCCAGGCCCATTTTTGATTTTTTTTTTGCGATATTAGGTAAAAACAGAAGCTTCTTATCCTAGGAAAAATAAAATGGGAAATCTTTCAAAGGTGGCACACTACCTTTAATGTTGATGTGGGAAGAGAATGAATGCAGTCACTATTCACATGATGCTTTGGTACAAACCAATTTATTGTCAATTTGTTGTACTTTCGCAGAGTCATCT